TTTCTTTCTTTCTTTCTTTCTTTCTTTCTTTCTTTCTTTCTTTCTTTCTTTCTTTCTTTCTTTCTTTCTCTCTAACTTGCAGAGGTTTCGACCTCTGGAAATAAATGAGCCAGGGTGCGGGGCATGGGCTCTGTAAGACCAGGTGCTGAATCAAGAAGCCTGGGAAACAGCCACCAGGAGCGGGAGAAACCAGCTGGGGGTCTGGGAGAGGAAGGCAGGAGAGAGGCATCGCAGATTCCTAGGGAGGGAGCCAGTGCCCCGTGACCTGGCGTCCCTGGTCTGGAGGCCACTGTGGCTGCCGAGAAGGGGAATGGCAGCAGTGTGGGCCTCGGTGCAGGAGTAGGGTGGCTGAGAAAACACACACCAACAACACGCAGAGAGGAAGGAGCTGACTGCGGGGCAGCTTCACCAGGCCAGGGCTGGGCCACAGGAAGCTGAGCTGTGGACACAGGCCTTCCCCCCTGGGGGCTCCTTCCAGCACTTTCTGTCTCAGTGGAGACTCCAGGCGGAGGGGACCAGGGGCGGTGGGACTGGCTTTCCCTGGGCACAGCAGCCCGTGTTCCCAGTCCTCGCCGTCCCCTGCAGCCCGTCTGTGCAGGAGAAGACCTGCCGTGTGGCTGGCCCTGGTTGCCCACCTCTAAAGCCGTCAGACTATTTATAGCACGGCTCTCTTCCGTGTTCCTGCCCGATGACCTCAGGTCCTCCAGGACGAAGCTAAACGAATCCTCTTTGCTATTCTCTTGATCGCTCCTCCTCTGTTCTCTTTTCTCTTCTGAGCTTTTTATGTAACCACTCGCCCTGTTAGGGAGGACTGGATTTAGCAACAGACAACTGTCGCCCGTGGTTACTCCAACACAGAGCAGCGGTCAGCCCGGCCTCAACCCAAGACACCGCCCTGTGACGAGGATTGTCACCTGGACTGAAATCCTGAGGCACATTTTGTTGGATGTGGAGCAGTGGCCATCACAAAGAATGGAGGGGTGGCCACAGGATGTCCCCCCAATGACCCCTAGCGACGGCTTGACCACAAGGCTCCTCCGCCCCTCACTGCCCTGTAACTCCCTTAAGCTGTAAGTGGACAATGGCTCCAGTCTCCACGTGGGCCCCTTCTGCAGGCCGGCCTGGACTGAGCCTGACCCGCCCTCTCTGTCTCCTTCCCCCGACTCCGTCCTTACGGTCACCACGGGCCCCTCTTGCTGAACCTCGACGTCCCGCTCCCTCGCTCTGCCTCTGCTGCTTTCTACGTCACGGGTCCTGGCTTTGGTTTTGGTGTGGTGACGGCTGCCCGAGGCTTCTGGGTGCTGTGCTCAGCTCTGGAACTCGTGACTTTATTCCAAGAGTCGTTTGTGGTCCTCCTCCTCCCCCTTTCTCGTTGAACCTTCCTGAAGGTCACCCTGTCCTCTGAGGTTCATAGAAGATATTTAATTCTAGGTCCTGATAGGAAAGTTAACGCCTCCTCTTGTTTTCTGTTATTTTGAGCTTTTCTACTTCTGGTCCCTGTGGGTCTAGTTTTCTTTGGCTGGTGATGTCCTGATCATCATCTGGAATGTCCAGCCCAGGTGTGGAACCCCTCCTGGCTGTGTGTCCCCCAGATGGTGTCCTTGCCGTTCACCTTGGGGGTGCACTTTGCTGAAGCCTTAGCTGGGGAGGGGGTTTTACAACCTGCAGAGTGCAGAGCTGTACTTAAAGGTCTGGCCTCTGCCTGGGCGCTTCTGCCCCCTCCTGTCTCCCCTGGACGCTGGTAGAACTCCCTTCATCTGACTCCAGGACGCTCTTTGTTTCTCTGTGGATTTTCTAGGTCTGAAACCTCTTGCCATGCCTCTTCTCTCCTTAAGAGAACTCAGGCTTCTGCTAATAAATTTTGAATGCCCTGATGCACCAATTTAAAAAAATTTTGGAAGTTCCTCCTTATTTCCTTTACCAAGTCCTCGGGGTGAGACATCTTTGCTCTGCTGATTCAACTTGGTGCTACTGCCGGTAGCTAATTTTCCTCACGTGTCTATTCTTTCTCATACATAAGCAAAAAACAGACTGCTCCTGTTTCTCAAGAGGCAGCTGCTCCTCGGTATTGGAACCTGGTGTGGGGTGCCTAGAAGCAGCTGTCCGGGTCAGGGTTCAGTTCTTCTTTCTGGTGACTTCCTATGTCTTTTCTTAAGTGGGGCTTATGTGGAATTTTTTGACTATGTAATAAGCGAGGCACTTCCAGCAGTAAAATGTGGAGTGCCGGGAGTGTCCCAGGAGGTGCTACCCACTGATCTTCTCTCAGAGGCTCACGTGGAAGAGCACAAGACAGACTCGTCAACCTCTGCCCTTGTTTACTATCCGGGTTCACTTTTGTGATGCATCTGGTTACTTTTGGGTGCCAGTTCACTTAGTCTCTCTGTGTGATTGCATTAGGGCCAATACACCAATCACAAAATTCATGGTCAGCATACAGTTATATAATGCCCAGTTAACTAATTGCACCCTAAAAATATCTCTGCAAAATGCCAGGTGCAAAAAGCTTGTGGTATTGTAATGTGAACTCTTGCACTAGCTTCCGGGAGTGTAAATGAGTACCACCCCTTTGGAAAATTGGTCCATCGTACCTGTCAAAACTAAAGGTTCAGATGCAAATTGGCCCAGAAATCCTTCCCCTGGGTGTATCTCAACACAAATGAGTGGGCATGTCCTTGAGTGGTCATCATACACCTAATCATAACTGCTAAAAACAGGCAACAACCCCAAATATCTAACAATAGTGGAAAAAGGAAAAGAAAATGTCGTAAATTTATAAAACAGGACTGTACAGCGGTGTATACCAAGGCAAGCGGGTCCCTCGGTCAGATTGTCGGGAAGAACACAGTAGGGGCCAGGCGTGGCCTGGAGGAGTCGTTCCCATGGGCCCCTTTCTTCCTCCTCCTGGATGACTTCTCTCCAGCCTGAAGAGCAGGGTTGCCACCGTCCTCTTGCTTCTTGCTGGAAGTCTGGCTGCGAGCTGTTTCCTACATAGCATCTTAAGCATTGTGGTGAGAACAAGCCCAAAGTTACATTTCCAGTGCTAGATATAATTCGAGAGACAGTCTAATTAATCTAATCAGAGATTACAATCTAGAGACTTACGATCTAATTAGGAGCCTGGAATCTCATTAGAAACAAGAAAACACACATGAAATACTTAGAGAACTTGGTATTACTTAGTCTTTTTAAAAAGGTCCACGTTCAGAGGTGCAGTTTCCCCCAGACATTCGGGAGAAAGAATCAACGAGAAACGGAGTGGTGGCTGACATTCCTGGAGAGAGAGGTTTGGAAACTCCACATGCAGACCAGATTCCAGCTGGCTGCTTCCTGGGGCACTTGCTGAGAGTCACGTAGGGAGAGCCTTTCCCGAGCCAAAGTGGGGTTAGCCAGGAGACAGAACGTCCATCAACTGGGGGACAAACCATGAGGAACTGCAGCCCTTTCAGGAGAGCCAGGTTGAACTCCAAGCTCCCACCAGCCTGAGCCCTGGCAGCCAGGAAACCCACAGTCAGAGGAGTGTAGGGGTCAGGAAGCCCGAGGCCAGAAGAGACTGGGACCCTTTCGTTATAATGAAGCACTGAGGATTCCTGCATTTAAAACTGTGGTCCCACGGGCTGACCTTCAGAAGAGCTCATGGAGTATGGGGGGCGGGGGGAGGAGGGCGTGGATCAAGGTCTCCCGAAGGCTTTCTCCTCTGAGATCACGCTGATGTCACACACACACTCTTCCTGGCTCCCGTGTTGGCAAGGAATTCAGAATTTATCTACACTTGCCAGGCGCGGGAGGGTGGAGCAGGGAGGGGAATAGAGGGGTTGGCAGATCCCTGAAGACAACTAGCACTCCCTGCGGAGAGGTTCCAGCCACGGAGTCGATCCCTCTGCCCGTGTTCTCAACTCCTTGCACTTCTGCAATCGCTCTTGAAACGGCTCTCTGGCTGCAAGAAAATCCTATCAGATCTGTTACCAAGCAAATTGAAGTTTCCAGTCCCTCCGGGCCAGTGTGGCAAGCATCTTCTACTCTCCCTGGGAGCTGCTTTGTGCGTTTGGCACTTTCTACCTGGGATGGAGCAGAGGTATGCTTTATAACCTTCCCCACTGAAATAGGGTGTGCATTTGTAATAGTTTGTCTTTGCTTTGGTGACTGG